ATAATCCAGAATAAAGTATGATTCGACAACGCTCGCAAAAATTCATTCACGTCGAAAATGACCTGACTCATCGTCCCACCATCCCACAGTTCCCACTGGGCAGCTGCACGAATGAGTGCCATATAATGCCCGGGTCTATGTAAAATACAGGCAAAAATATGAGGATCGTTATTGAGGTCATCGCCTGGCGTCGTATGATGCATAAGAAGGTGGCGACCGTGAAACGCTAACTGTAAGACATTTACAGTAAAGCCTCCTGAGGTAGTATAGTTACTACCTTCTGCAGGTGGACTATTATGGTCAAGCAACAACTGATACTGTAAGACATTTACAGTAAAGCCTCCTGAGGTAGTATAGTTACTACCTTCTGCAGGTGGACTATTATGGTCAAGCAACAACTGATTTTCAACAGCGTCAAGCTGATACGCAATCGTAAGAAATTGGGATGCACTATAACATTGACGCTGAGAAGCCTGTAGGCAGACATTTGTGGTTGTCAAACCACAAGAATTTGGTAGGTCTGCCCGCAGATCCGAATCGGTCACCACTGGAAAGCCAGATGTGACTACCGCGTCACCATTGCGACAGCCTCGCTCTTTGCGGCACGCGCATACGGCCCTGCGTCAGCTTCAAGAATCCTTTGCGATTGTTCCTGTGGACAAAACATCACATAATTTGGCTATTTGCTGTAAAAATTGGTACAGATTCAAACTGTCAAGCCACCTTGACAGTCCTACGTATTCTCGGCCTGCTGAATCAGTGGCTGACATTCTGAATAGCCATGCAGTTTGGAACAATCATTGGAATTATCCTCATGCTGACACATTGCCGTATCTCTATTGTGTTCTTAAGGCCCATAAATCTCCTCCCACACTCCGTCCTATTCTTGGTATCACTGCCCGAAACAATCGTTCTTCTTCCTCTTCCCATACGGCCCGGCGGAGTGACCTGCACCCTTCCCAACGAGTCCAGCGTTTGCATCACCGACCGAAATAATTATTTTTAAATTTTATTTTTTATTCTAAATTTGGTGAAGAATTTCGATGTGACCCTGAGGCAAACGTTGTTCATTTTATTTTTCAGCATAACATAATTTTTTCCCGGATTTTTTGGAATTTTTTTTTTTTCTTTTTGGCTGCGACCTTCCCTGGTCCTTGCACGGGCTGGCCACCCGGGACCCGGGCGGCCCGGCTGGTAGCCCAGCTCCTTTATGAATTATACTTGCATTATTATTTCAATCATATTTTTAACCGCAATTTACGGACTGACTACGTACAAAACATTCCACCTAGAATGTCACACACGGTTAAATTCAAACATAACCGAAAGAAAAGCAAAATCTCACAGACGTAGGGGAAGATGCGGCATTGTAAAAAAATACTTATGTAAATAATGGAGCGTCAAAAAAATACTAATGTATAGCCCCTCGTTTGTTGTCCTCTTCTCCCTCTCTGCCTACGGTTTACCGGGCAGCTCTGTTTGACTATATATATGGAGCGTCAAACAAAGCTGCCCGGTAAACCGTTTGCACCCGTAGGCACAGAAGGAGTATATATATCGTCACATAGATATCAGATATACAGTCACAAAGTTATCAGAGCACAAAAGCGAAAAGAAGAAGAAAAAAATAAATTCATTTTTTTATCTTCTTCCTTACAACTTCCCCTGTTCAGAACCTCTTGCGTACAAGGCCACCCACGTGGATATAGGTTGAGCGGCGGCTATATATATCATATATCATCAACCGGATATATATATATCGTCACATGAATATCAGAGCGCAAAAGCGAAAAAAGAAAAAAAGAAAAATAAAAGAATAAAAAAAAATGAATTCGTTTTTTTATCTTCTTCCTTACAACTCCCCCTGTTCAGAACATCTTGCGTACAAGGCCGCCCACGTGGATGCAGGGTGAGCGGCGGCTGCCCCCACTCCCGTGTGTCATATCGACACACTTGCAAATATGTTGTCTTCTTCTCCCTCTTTGCCTACGGTTTACCGGGCAGCTGTGTTCGACGATATATATCGTCACAAAGATATCAGAGCGTAAAAACAATAGAAAAACAAGAAAAAATCAATTCATTTTTTATCTCCTTAGTTATAACTCCCCCTGTTCAAAACCTCTTGCGTACACGGCCGCCCACGTGGATGTAGGTTGATACATATAGTCAAACAGAGCTGCCCGGTAAACCGTAGGCAGAGAGGGAGAAGGGACAACAAACGAGAGGCTGTGACAAACTGTTTCGTCGGAGTTTCACCGACTCCTACATATACATTGTCGCATACATATTATATTGTCACACTGTGAATCGGAGCGCAAAGGCGGAAAAAGACAAAACAAAAAAGGAAAGAAGGAAGCTCTGCCTGTTCATCGCCTCTTACGTACAAAGCCAGCCACGTGGATGACAGATTGAGCGCTGGCTGCCCCCATCCCCGTGTGTCACAAGGAGCCACTTGCACGCAGCCAAAAGGCAAAAAGAGGTAAAGAAAAGGAGGAGGAAACCAAACCTCACAGAGGCAAGAGAAAGAGAAAGGGATCCAGTCAAAAAAAAAGGACAAGGGAAGAGGAAGGCCTACCAGTCAAACAAAGCAAATGACACATCCCACAGATAAACCAATTGCCACTGTCACAACAAAGTGCAACATAGTTTTTCTTTCCTTCTTTTTTTCTTTCTTTTTTTTCTTTTTTTCTTTTTTCTTTCCTTCAGCAATTTCTTTTTTTTTTTTTTTTTTAGTTTTTTCAATATTTTCTTTCTTCTTTCTTCAACTCCGTATCTGTTGGTAGTGTCGAAAACTTTCTGTCCTACAACAATTAGTGTTGCTCCTGACCTGCTTGACTCTATTGACCAGTCAGGAAGAGGAGCCCCCACCCCGACAGATAGGACAGGCACGCTTAGGATGACGTGGACGTTCACAAGGATACCCAAGGAGAGCTGCGCCAGCACAGCATTCAGCAGAACGACTAGCACGGACCATCCCATCAAAACAGTCCTGACAAAGGACATGCGGTCCACATCCCAACAAACCAGCAGGACGTTCATCGAAAGAAGGAAGTCCTGATGCCATCCTTGCGCATCTATATAGTCAAACAGAGCTGCCCGGTAAACCGTAGGCAGAGAGGGAGAACAGGACAACAAACGAGGGGCTGTGACAGACAGACTGTTTCGTCGGAGTTTCACCTACCGACTCATCAGGAGGAGGCTAAACCCTCAACAGTCTGCAGAATCCCCTGATAACTGATTACATACACTAAGTGATAATCCACCTCAACCCCGGCTGTGGTTAAGCATCAACGACCGCCCGACAACTGATACCCTGAGGTGGGCACCACGTATATATCATCACATGAATATGAGAGCGCAAAAGCGAAAAAAAGAAAAAAGAATGAATTCGTTTTTTAATCTTCTTCCTTACAACTCCCCCTGTTCAGAACCTCTTGCGTACAAGGCCGCCCACGTGGATGTAGGTTATATACGTATATAAACATATAATGTTATATACCTATATAGATATACACATACAGTGTGACAATATATTATGTATATAATATACGAAAGTATGGATTCAATAACATTAACGATATGCAGGCGATTGCACCTACCCACCCAACTTTAGACTCCTCGATTACCAAAATAACAATCATCTTCAGCACGAGTTTTTTTTTTTTTTTTTCAATCATAGTACAATCATCTTCAGCGCAAGTTTTTCTTTTTTTCAATCATAGTACAATCATCTTCAGCGAAAGGGGGTGAGGGGGGAAGGGGGGGGGGGGGAGAGGGCTGACCATTTAACAATCATCTTCAGCGCAGTTTTTTTTTAATCATAATAACAACAATCATCTTCAGCGCAAGTACACTGACATTTCATTCTGCCTAGAAACTTGTTCTGAGAATCTCAGGCCCAAAAACAGAAAAAAAGGACTACAATTATTTATAATTCATTAAAAAAAAAAAAAAAAAAAAAAAAAACAGAAAATGGATTACCCGGACTGGCTAGAGTCCTTCCAAAGCAGCTGGGCTCTCGTTCCACCGAAAACGACGTAATAAGAACAAGGATGAGGGGGAAAAAGGGAAGTCGATGCGAAGGTCGCCAAATAAAAATTACGAATAAATGAAAAAAAACTAAGGAATTTAGGGAAAATGAACATAGACGCACAATCCACCACGTACATATCGATTGCCACGTTACTTTTCACATTAGAACAGAAAAGAAGGTGGATAATAGATTTTTTATTTTCTTTTGTTTTTAAACAGATAATAGATAAATAAGTCATAGACTATTATTTTGGGAGGTCAACAAAAATGCAATAATTGGTCAGGTGTTCTTGTGCTCATCACAACCAAATTTCACCCAAAAAAAGAAAAAGAAAAAACTCACCATCGCCCTCCCCAGCAGCGCTGCTGGAACCTCCACTACCTCCTCCCGTCTTCGATGAACTCTTGCCCTCACCATTCGCATGACCTTTTTCGTCCTTGTCCTCGCGCTTGGAACGGTCGTCCTTCCCTTCACTCGTTTCCTTCTTTTGACCCTGCACCTCTGCCTCCACCCCCTTCTCCTGCTCCCCCACACTGGCTACCTCTACTCCCTCCTTTCCCGCCTCCTGCCTTCCTTGAGACTCTACTTCACTCTTCTCCTCCTCTTCAGCTCCGATCCTCATCTTCTCCGCACCATCATGGCTACGCATTGCCGAAGAGTTGGACCCTCCAGGCGCTGACAGACCGTCCCTACTCTCTTCTTCAACTTCCTCCTCCTTCTTTCCAGCCTTCTCATTCTGGCCAGCCGAAGAACTCTCATCCTCCTCCGCTGCAGAGGGTGAGGGTGACACCTCACCCGCTGCATCTGCTGCTGATGCAGGATTCGACGTCATATTCAAGCTCGGCATCTCCCCCTTCTTCCCCACACTTCCCGCACAATCCGCCGGATTGCCCGCCGCCTCCGCCTCCTCCCCCAAATCCGCCATCTTATTCTCTTCCGCCCGTTCGACTGTGCTTTGCGCTGCCGCCTCGATCTCCAGCGCGCGTTGGGTTGCCGCACCCTTCGTCGTCGGATTACCCACCGCGCTTTCCGCCGTATTCTCCGCCGTCATCTCCGCCGTAACCTCCGCCGTAACCTCCGCCGTAATCTCCGCCGCCGCTTTATCAAGTGCCTCATCGCCATGCTCTTCGGTGGACAAATCTTCGGAAGAAGATTGGACCCCTGTGGCTGCTGCCGCTGTGGCTGCCTTCACTGATGCCGAAGAAGAGTGTACACCAACCTCTTCTCCTCCATTGCGCTCCCTCTCGGCATCGACGGGATCAGCATCAACAGCCGTTCGCGCGGCGGACGCCGCCCCGCTGACGGGATCGCTGTCAGCCGGGGATTGCACCGCCGTCGATTTCACCGGCGCTCCTGCCCCCGACCCGTCGATTACTTCGGATTCGTTTTCGTCTGCGCCGCCCAAGGAAGCGGCTGCGCCCTGTTCACCAGGTCTGTCATCCCGGTCAGACAAGTCGCCAGCTCCCGCACTGTCCGCAATCGAGCAGGGGACGGAAGATGGGCACGGGGACGGAGATGGATTTGCAGGGGGAGAGGGAGGAGGAGCAGGAGGAGGAGGAGGAGGAGGGAGACCCTCAGGTCGAGCAGGAGAAGGCGCCGTCGCTGCGCTGGACGAATCTTCACTTGGCCGCGGAGAAGACGCAACCGTGTGACCAGACCCAACGTTCTCCCCACTTCTCACTTCCGATGCCTCCATGTCCGCCGACTGCTGCTGCGCTCCCGCTACCTCCATATCAACGACTCTAACAAGACTGTTCGCGCATAATCCCTCCGCCGAGAGCGCAGTCAGGTGGAGAAGTCACCTCCCCCTCCCAATCACACAATGTTCGTCACGCAACTCGGAACTAAGGAGCAGACTCTAGTTATCCTATCATAGACAGATAACGGGCCCGCGAAGTGAGAGAAAACACCGTGAGGGAGAGAGAGAGAGAGAGAGAGAGAGAGAGAGAGAGAGAGAGGCGGAAGAGATGACGAAAAAAAACGTGAAAAGGACAGAAGGCGTGGAGGGGGGATGATGGGATGATGAGACTGTGTACGGCGCCACGTAGAGGTAATCTCCACCAAATCTACGATGGCGGCGGCGGCGAGAGGGGTTGCTGCAGCGTTAGGAGGATTCAGAAACAGAGGGGACCATCGCCGAATCCCCGATCCGCACGGAACGCTCAGCGTCACCGACTTTCGAGTCCCCCGGCCCGGCGATGCTACCTCCGTCCTCCTCCCATTCCTCCTCCTACTCCTCCCCCTCCTCCCATTTGCCCTGAGCAAGCTGCGCAGCTGCTCGAATTGGGATACAGCCAACCATCCAGGGGAAATGGATGAGGCGCCACCCCAGGCACAGGAACAGATGCCCACCCCTTGTTCCCCCCCCACTCCACCAACCCGCCGTTCGACCTACTACACTCCCCCTACACGGTCGGCCACCGTAAAGCTTCGCGGCCCCTGCTGCCGCCGCCGCCGCCGCCAACGCTGTCCCCTGTTCCGAGGAGGCCTTGAGCAGTCCAATCGGTTCCATCCCGCCAACCTCCCGGTGCACGGTGTGGACCAGCGCCCATGAGAAACCAGCCTTCCCCCATCCCCCCAAACCACCACCACCAGGAATAAAGTCGTCCCGCTTACCAAAAAACTAAGGGCCTACCGTAGCTGCGCCACTCGCCGTCGGCCTCACATGCGCCAACACATTCAAAGTGAATCTGAACATGGGGTTCCTTGTTGTGCATTCAAAAATGTTGGCGCGTGGCGCGTGGCACAACTACCCCCAAAGGCCGGTAGGCAGTTCCGGTCCAGGGTTCCCTTCTATAAAGTGGGGGGGTCAGTTCACCGCCTGCTCCTCTCCTTCGGTTCACGAAACACCTCGCCGGTGTTCTATCTCCTGCAGCACCAACGTTGATGGCGTTTTCTGTCCTAAGTTAGTACGACCTTTGTCTGACGGGCAGGCCCTACCGGTGCTATGTTGTAGCACCAGCCTTGCCAGTTTCTCAGTGTGGGATTCATTAGGCAGACCATGCGTCGGTCACTGACCACCGACATAGTACGGACAGACATAGCACGGACAGGCATGGCAGTGACATAGCACCGAGTAGGAGACATACCACTGGGCACATGAAACGGACGGCGAGTGTTTTTTTTTTTTTTTTTTTTTTTTTTTTTTTTTTTTTTTTTTTTTTTTTTTTTTTTTTNTTTTTTTTTTTTTTTTTTTTTTTTTTTTTTTTTTGCCCGGGGGGGATCAAACTCACTCGCGGCGAGTGCTTGGTTCTGCTCGCCTGTGCAAGTTAACAGACAAAAACAGAAAACAAAACAAAAAGATGTGCCATCCAAATTGAATCTTCTCTCCCCGCTCCAAGTTTCACGGGTGTCCCGAAAGACGGCGCGCGCTACTGCTCATCTGCCTTGTGGATGGACGGGAGCCGAGCGCCATATACACGTAGATCAGCTGTTGATAAAATGCATATGTATGTGTGCTCGAATCCGTGGGCAAGGTCCCACTTGCACGGATTAGGAGATTTCGGCCGTTGATCTTCGCTATCGACGGTCAATAACGCATAATTCGTGCAAGTATAGTGTTTGGAGGTAGAGGCCCCGCTACAAAGTAGCACTATATACTGTATAGTATAGGCCGAAATAGGCAAAAAGAACGCGGGGCCAGATAACGGGCAGCTGGAACCCGGCGGGGGCCGAGATGTATATGTTTGCTGCTGGACAAGATGCACAAGCGCTGAGTGGCAGAGGGGGAGGTGCGTCTGCGTGGCCTGAAAAAGTCCCGCGCCAAATCTCCGCGCCTTTTTCCGCGCCCTTTTCGCGTCGCTTTTTTCCGCTTTTCTGCTGATGACCAATGACCAACTTATCCACGCGCCAAAAGGTTTTCGCGATTCCGCCGCTGGGAAGTGTTCGAGGGGAGCTCTCGCAGAGGAGCGCGAGCCGCCGAACCTGCCCTCCTCTCTCGATAGCTGCCCTCTAATTGCGGGAACTGTTCGCCGGCGCGGTGAACATATGAGAGTACATAATAGTCCTAAAAGCACTCCCTAGAATGTACTGAGACATAAATTACGTCCGGGTTCATTCAGGAGTGCCCTAAAGTGTGTCTGCCCGCCAGCAACGGCTTCAGCGAAGTCCGGGCATGCGGGCACACTCGGTCATTCCTGAGCTGTGAAACTTGCACCTAAGCAGATGATTCATATGGTGCGAGGATGCGACCTTCCATCCTGACGGAAAACGATCTTGATGACGTTGCCGTACGTTGCCGTGGCGATTCACAAGGATTGCTGACTGATGGCACGTTTTGGGGGGGGAATTGTTCAAATGCCCGTTGAAGTTGGAGAATTTTGTCAAATATCCCTAAAAAATTTCAGGGGTGTCACGAAATGCCCCACTAACACAGAACGTGCAGCAGAAACGCAACGCCCCAACCCCGAGGCGACCTACGGACGAGGAGGTGTGAAGTGAAATCCCCGTAAAAGTTTGAGTATTTTCTCAAATACCCCAGAAACACAGGGGTGTCACGAAATGTCGCCCCGTTACAAAGCTTGCAGCAGAAATGCAACGCCACAACCCCGAGGCAAACCTACAGAGGAGGAGGTGTGACCTTCAAACGTCGTGGGAAGAGGAATAAGAGACACTCCTAGGTCAGAGGGCCCAATTTTTGCACCCCCCACATCCTGCACTGTGAAGCTAAGCGCAGGAAAGAAGCTGCACAGTGAGGATGGAAGGAGGAAGCGCCCAGTAGATGCTGCGACAGAGGGCAGTGGATACGACAGTCAGCGAGGATAATAAGGTAACCCGGCCTTTCCCCTGGATCTACAGTAATCAACGGCTATATTAAGTTCGGAAAATTGCATCTGTACCCCACTTAAAGATGGCAATGCCGGCTATACCCAGTCCCAGCGCCAACTTGCATCCATACCCAGAAAATGGCTGGTGGAAATTGTTTACATGGCCAGGACCGAGGCGGACCCAGGTTGCTACCGCAAAATTGCAGTTATAACCAACTACCGGAATGCACAAATTATGGGCATACCCAGACAAAATTATGGGCATACTCGGGACCTGAGGAGGCATGGGCAAATCATTCATATGCACTGCTACCGGATGGTTGAAATTATGCTCATATCCAGCAGCCGTTGGGCCACAACGATCTACTTGGTGGGCATGAGCATAATTTGGTTCTCGGAATCCAGGGCCTGCAGGATTGGGTACACCTACAATTTCACGCAGGAGCAAAGCTGGGTACTATGCAAAGTTGAACGGCCTGATGGTTATAGATCAAAGTTTCGTGCTGGGACTGGGTATAATGAGTATTCCCATCTTTATGTGGAGTACAGATGCAATTTTCCCTATTAATTACAATTATATTTATAATTATTTAATCTTACGGATAAATTGCAAAATACTCCCATAAGTTGAGCATATGCCAAAAGGCCGCTGAAACATGTGTCTAGAGCAGAATGTCCTTCTGGGCCGAAATCTTTGTGTTATGCCCCTGCCAGGCTGGTGCACAAATTTGCAATCTGGCCCGTGCAGTTTGCACCCAGGCGTTTGCGATAGGGCCTTGGAAAAGCTGCCAAGTACCAGGGCATTTTGCGAAGTTGGATGGTTCCCAGTAGGGTATATTGCAAAGCTGGGAAGTCCAACCGACACGATGGGCATTTCACAACAGAATTTTTTCGTCAGAGGGGCATTCCGCCCTAATCACCTCTTTTAGGGGCATTTTGGTATATATCTCAATTTAATATTTATGGGGCATTTTACAAATTACCCATAATTTTAAATTGTGTTAATTAATTATTTAATATTTGTTGATTATTCTTTTTTTTTTTTTTTTTTTTTTACAACTCATCCCATTGCAAGGCCTCTATCCTGGTGGTGGTGAGTGAACCACCATGATTGAGGGCTCGCCAGTGAGATGGCTCATGTCCATACTTGCAACGGCATCGTGCATCGTACCATGTGGTGCACAGCACGGCGTGCACGTGGGACCTGCTCGTGCACCGTACCAGCGGCAGCTTCCCTTTTTTTTCGCCTTTTTTTGTTGTTTTGTAGACACAGAAGAGTGCGACACCTGTCCGAACTAAACAAGGAGACATGGTCGAAATCAAGTCGGCCTCAGCGGATACCCCTTACTGCTCCAATTGCAAATGGTACTCCCATATGGAACACCAATGCAACAGAAAGAAGGACAACTCCAACTGGCGACGCAGCCAATTCAGGCGGAACCGGACATCACAAATGGCGATAACGGACGATGATGACTCATTGTCCCAACGATCCTCTGATAGTGCACACTCACAGTAGAGCAGCCAAAGAAACATCCCAAGATGCAAAGAAGACTTGGCCGCTGGTATAAATCTCCCTATAGTAGCGATGCATAGTGGGGCTTCTCTAGAAGGAGGAGCCTCTCAAATCCGGCAAGAGCAAGAGGTGGGATCGGGTATACCGGTAAACCAATTGCGTCTGATTACCAACCCAATCTTCTCACCAATGGCGAGACAATATTCTGACCCTTATGACGCTCACCTCCGAGAAGAGATGGACTCTCGGTTGAGAATTCAGCGGGCGTTCATCCCCTCGACTTCGCATCAAGAACTGATCCCTGCCATGTCGCACCTAATGAGAGCAGCCGCCATGGCACGAAAGGACCCCCGCCCCCCCCCCACCAGGGACGGAGAGCTGCCACGCGCAACATTCCCTCTCAAACCAACAGACCACACCTGGCCCAGTCCCCTCAGCAAGCCCGAATGTGTCCAGGCTTAGGCAATCAACGAACGAGGAAGTCTC